GAGACATCTGATGCCTCGATCTTTCTCTTTACTCTTGTGAGGAGACCACCCCCATGGCTCCCCACTCAGTCCCCCCACCCTGCGAAGTCAGGGCTCCACCCACTGTGGGAACCGCCCCTGAATCGGGACGGAGGGGGGTCCTTCCCGGGCACCCAGGCGGCTGCAGGCTCCCGTGTGATGTCACCTTAGCCAGCGAGGAGACAGTGGGAGCCCACTTCCTCTTTCCCTGCGGCCCCCCAGGAGCAGGGATGGGGGGACTGTCCTGTGGTCGAGGACAGCAGCTGGGTCAGGTCGTGTCCTGTGTCTGTCCTGTTGTGGGGGGGCACCCGGACAGACTTCCTTTCCCAGCTCAGGAAGTTTTAAAAGTCACCACTGGAAACAGAATTTTGGCGTGGTAACTGAGTGCTGTAGAGAGGTCCTATGCATGGTACCCGTAAGGCCAGGACACTTCTATCCGGCTGCCTTAGGATGTGGCTGAACTCGTGATGAAAATCTTCAAGTAGTGCTGGAGACGTTTGTGCTTGTTCTCACGGTCGTCCTGAGTGTTTGCTGTCCCGGGCCAGCGCGGGCGCCGGGACGAGAACGGGGGGTTGGGGGGTCTGGGTCCCGCAGTCGCTCCCGCGGTCGCAGGCTTTGCCGGGAAGGTGGGTGGTGGACGGGCTCGGGTGTTGACTCACCTGCATGGTGAGCGGCCGGATGTCCCCGCGAAAGATTCGAACAGAGTGCTGCCACGTCCACTCGGGGGACCCGGCTGGAAGCAACCCCAAGGCAGGGAAGGGGTCAGGCAGGGCTCCCGGGCAGCTGTGCCATGGGTGCGAGGACCGAGGGCTCTTCGCTGGCGGGGGGTACAGCGGGGAAGGAAGCTTCTGGAAAGGGGCAGCAAACGGGGAGAGATAGGTTTAGATTTCGAAGGCTGGGTGTGAGGCCCCTGTGGGACACAAGCGCACACACGTACAGGAGGTGCCCCCCATCCCCTGTGCCCCCAAGACTGGCCCTCGTTTCCTCCTGTGTTTTCTGTGTAAAGAACAAGGTGCTGAGCACAGTGATCTCCTCGGGCAGTGGTTCTCTGCCAGGGACGGTGCCCCCAGGAGATGCTGGCCAATGTCCAGCAATGTTGGGGTGCCCCCTGGCATTTTTTCAAAAAAAGATTTTATGTATTTATTTGACAGAGAGAGATCACAAGTAGGCAGAGAGGCAGGCAGAGAGAGAGAGGGGAAGCAGGCTCCCTGCTGAGCAGAGAGCCCGATGTGGGGCTCGATCCCAGGCTCCTGGGATCATGACCTGAGCCGAAGGCAGAGGCTTTAACCCACTGAACCAGCCAGGCACACCTGCTCCCCAGCATTTGTGGCTGGAGCCCAGGGATGCTGCCCAAATCCAGCTGTGGCCAGGATGGCCCCACCGCGAGAGCTGCCCACGGTTCCGGTGAGCAGCCCAGTCTCAGGGAGTTTTGTGGTTGCCAGCACCTTTCCGTCCATTGGGGGGACCTGTGCAGTCCAGAAGCAATCTTACCAGGTGTTGAAGAGGGGCGTCAGGTTGTTGTTTTGTGAAGCGACAGCTGGGTGACTCCTGGGAGCCTCGGCCAGTCGCTCCCTCTGCAGACGGGGCTGTGCCAGCCTGAAGGAGGCCGTGACGAGGAGTGACATCCAAGGCCATTTCCCCGGGAAGATGCTTAGCGCATTTGCAAGTGCAGACTCTGGTGGGGTCGGGGTACTGCGCCCCTGATAGCAGGGTAGGGGGTGGGGGAGCTGCTGCAGGGGGCAGGCCAGGCTGTGGGCCGGGCCGGTGTGTGCCCTGGGCCCCCATGTCCTCGTCTGGGGAGTCCTGTCCAGGTGAGTCCTGTCCAGCGCTGTGGCCACCAGCCAGGTCCAGCCCCTCCTGAAAGGAACCTTTGCTCACACAGGATCTCTCATCCCACTGCTGCTCTTTTCCAGAAGACCGTTCCTTTTTTTTCCTAATCTCACATTGCAATGCAAGGTCATGCAGGATGCAGGCAGAGATGAGAGATGTTGATGCCGTGAAGAACATGAAGTGCCCCCGAATTCCCGCCATTAACTGTTGGCCCCCCTCTGTTTTCTGTACACGCGCAATGTGCTGTCGTTCCCACTCGTACCTGGCGTGTTTGCATGACACACACTGTCCCTCCTGAGGTCCCCTGCGGGCCAGCATGAGGAGGCCGGCCCAGGCTGGTTGCACGTGAGCCTCGGAGGAGACTGATGGAACCGGGGGACGTGTTCTGTGTCCTGCACGCACTTGCTGTCTGTCCTTTCAGGTTCTTGGTGGAGTTCTTAGCCTCCTACTTAGAGAGGAGAGTTTTGAAGAATAGGGTCTTCTGCCCTTGATGTGCAAACATGCAGTGAACTAGAAAGGAAAGGAGCGCCAGGCCCTGAAGGCAGGTCCTCAGCTGGGCACAGAGGAGGGGACAGGAGCCTGGGGGAGATGGAGCCTCGGCCTTTTGTCTCTGACAGACAGAAGATCTGTCTCAGCCCTGATCTTATGTAACTTCCCGAAACCTCGTCCCTCTGACACGGTCATCCTCACGCACAGCCGTGAAACGCAGGCTCAGCCAGTGGCCGCGGTGCTGACCGATGGGCCGGGGCCAGCCGCCCTCTGCGTGCCCGGCCCCTCCGCATGCCTGGCCCCTGGGCTCCTGTGCTCCTGCAAGGGGCAGCCCCAGACCAGACCCAGAGGTCCCCTCCTGACAGTCCTCAGTGAAGTGTCCACACAGGAGGGATTTTTACCTCCCTGCAGGTGTCGATCCCCCAAGAGAAGACCGCTCTGTGCGTCCCTGCACGCATCCCACACACAAGCCACGTTCGTGTGAACAACCGTGTGTTTGTCTTGTTCTCACCCAAGGAAGCATGGGGAGGCTGACCGTAGAGGAAGACAGGAAGGTTCATCCCAGAGTCCCTCCCTTGCATTGTGTCCCTTGTCCTGTCCCCCAGTTTTGGTGACCCAGGAGCAGACCTGCGTCCGCCCAGGCTTCCCTCTGCCTGGGAGCCTCCTGAGCTCCAGCTCCCCCAAGAGAAAACTCCACGAGCCTCGAAGCCCCAAGCCCTCCAAGCCCTCTGTCCTGTCCCTCCAGGCCTGTCCCTCCCTCGGCTCCTCCTTCTCTCCCAGGCCACCTTCTGAGCGGCTTGTCCTGGCCACATTGTGGTCTCTGCTCAGACCCTGACCCCCCCTCCCCCGCCTCCAGCCCCGCACTGCGTACCCCTCCTGTGCCCTGTCACCCCAACATCTCCCCACGCAGCCCCTCTGTGATGGGGGCGGGTCCGGCGCCCGGTGGGTACCCGAGCGAGCGGGGTGCTGTCGCAGCTGCGTGCGACGTAACAGGTGAGCCGTGTGCAGGAGTCGGGGGGCCTGCAGCGGCACCGGGAGCAGGGTGTGGGGCGACATCCTGACATCTCATGCTTCCTCCTTCGGCTCTCCGAGTCGTCCAACCAAATGAGCAGGATTAGGAATTACTGATGCGTAGACTCTCACGTGCGTTATCCTGGGTGGTGTGTGACTTGGACTAATTTAACCGCGTAATACGACTACTGGTCTCTTGTGCGGTTTCTTAAATCCGCCGGTTCGTCTGAGTATGGAGAAGCTTCTGCCCTACTGACTCGCACTTAGCCTGTCCTGATAGCCTCTCGGCTGTTTCTTACCAGCAGGTATAACCACCGCCCAGGGCTGCGACCGCGCCTGACGCCTGTTCTCAGGGTCTGAGATGGCCGTGAGAGTGTGAGACCCTAAGGGGCGGGTCCCCTACTCTTCCCACGGCATCCCCGAGCCACTGCCGCGAGCCTGGCCCCGCTCGGTGCCCCAGACACACAGAACCCTGAAGGCTCCTCCGCACGGAAACACTGGTGCAGACTCGGTGGGGCCTGAAGGAGGGCAGGCCAGCGCCCCACAGGTTGAGGAGGATGTGGGAGGCAGGCCGTGGGATGGCATTGGGAGGGAGAAGGCAGGGCGCCCTGGAGGGAGGCCTCCGTGACAGCCGCCCCCCTGCCGGCCTCTGAACCCCGGTGCGCCGCAGCCCTTGCTGCCCTCTGACGCCCACTTCTGGTTACTCTCCAAGACTCTCTCTGCCCCATGCTCCCGGCCAGTCTGGCCCTGCTGGGCACCGTCTCCTCCCAGCCTTCCAGGACTCCTTGAGGCCCACGCCCATCTGCGCCTTCCCTGACCCCTGCGGGCAGTGACTTCCAGACCGCGGGAAGTTGCTGAAATGCCCCAGTGGTGGGTTTCTATGAGCCCCGGCCAAAACCGAGCTCTCCAGCTCCATGTGACAGCCAGCCCGGGACCAGCCACAAGTTACGGTGCTCTGCTCTGCTGGATCCTAGCAGCCGTCCTCGGACACGCGTCCAGAGTGCAGCCTGTGCGACAGGGGCTCACTGTCCGGGTCTCCACTTCCGGGCCCCCCAGCCGTGCTGGTACCGGCTTGCTTCTGCCATCTGGGCAGCTCTGTGGAGTGGCCTCCGCCGGGCTTCCCGCCGTCGACAACATGGGCTGCTGTGTGCCCCCAGCCCATGCCGTCCTCCCCCATCTGACGCCTCCCCACCCCCGTCAGGCCTTTCCAGAGCCCCCGCCGCCCCTGGCCTCCGCCACTGGGGGCCCTTACTCTGTGGGGCACACGCGGTAGCCCCGGGTCCCGCCTGCCCGGTGGTTCGTCACGTGCTTCCTTCCCACTTGGATTCCTGAGCCAGACTAAGGACAGACACTGTGTCTTGAACATCTTTGCCCAAACTGAGCACAGAAGCTGGCCTGGAAAGTCAGCGGAGCAGGTCATGGAAAAGTGAGCAGCCTGCGTTGCCCACTGTTGGATAAACGTCCTCTTCCGATAACATTGAGTTTCCCGAGTGTATTTAGCTCCGAGTTTAATAAAACTATGTATGATTTTTCTTTTATTGGATGTCTAACGAGAATATTAAAGCAGAACAGCCCCAGCATTTTGGGATGGATTTCTTATATTCTTGTGAATTCTATGCAGTTCATCTGATGTGAGGATGTGGTCTTTACAGATGCCTGCTGTGTGCCCATCTCCGAGATTATCACCGTAGAGGAAACCGACACTCACGGGAAGCGCTACAGCAGCGGAACATGGCAGAAGATGGAAAAGCCCTTTGCTTTCACAGGTGACGGAGCAAACCACCCCCCCCGGCCCCCGTCTTCACTGATTTCACACAGTTGAAAAGGCGAGTTTTTCGTCACTCGTTTGACAGGCTCAGTGTTTCCTTTTTTTTTTTTAATCTTTTAGAAACTGCTTTATGTAATTTTCCCCCAAGATCGACTTTTAATTAATGTTTCGATCATCTTGTTTCTTACTTTCTTTGTTTTTTTGTTTTTGTTTTCTTAATGGGTTAAAAGAACGGAGACGCAAGTCTTCTTCCTAATACCTTGGACGTCGCTCGCGGGCCCGGAGGGGGTTTCCGCGTGAGCTGTGGGGCCCAGGGCTGCGCCCTGACCTGCCCCGCTGTCTGTCTCCGCAGTGCACTGCGTGAAGAGAGCCCGCCGCCGCCGCTGGAAGTGGGCGCAGGTCACTTTCTGCTGTGCCGAGGAGCCGCTGTGTCACCTGTGGCTGCGCGTCCTGCAGGAGCTGCTGGGGGCGCTCAGTACGTGCGTTTGTACCCCCCACCCCCACCCCCATGAGGCTTCGCTGCCTCATGCACAGCTGCCTGTAACCTGCGGGGTAAACGGGTGTGGCGTGGGCAAACTGACCGATGTACCCATCAGAGGACCAGCCTAGAGTTGCTGGCAGCCCCCACATGGCCTCCCGGGGCCAGGGCGCTTTACCGACCAGCTGGGACCCGGGGCGCGGGTCCCTGGACCTGCGGAGCCTCGGTTTCTATTTCTGGGCTGTTGGGATGGGGGTCCCTGCGTGGCAGGTGAATGTGGGGAGCCAAGCAGGTCATGGGGACGCACCCCCGACATCGGGGGGGCCGATATCTGAAACGCGGATGGGTTGCTGGGCGATGAGAGTCCATCTGTCCAGCTCCTTGGAAGAGTGTGTCCGTGATCCTGTCTCCTGCCGTTGGTTACAGTCTCAGTACGTAATCTGGTCAGTTCCTTCAGCTTGAGCCACAGAACACAGCGCGGAGAGGGGTGGTTTTCAGTCTTTTCAAGCGAATTTGGCGTCTGGATCCAAAAAGTGAGAATTTACTTGAAGGTGGCGTGGCCCACAGACGAGCTTCCAAGAGACGTCCTGGCCCGAGACGGCTCCTCGTACCTGCAGGTGTCGAGGATCTGCTCCTTTGGGTCTCTCTGATTTTAACCCTGTGTTACTGTCTGTGGCCTCCCAGAAGCAGCCTAGACCCCGGGATGCACCCACATCCCGCGTGTGCAGCTTGGCCCCTGTCACCAACATCCAGATCCCACACCAGAACCGGCCAGCCCCCTGGGGCCCGCTGAGCACCCCTGTCCCTTCCCCATGGGGTGACCACTGCCTGGCTTCATTTTGGGCTTCGTAGATGTCAGGTCGTACCGCAGACACGCCTGTGTCTGGCTTTTTGGCTCAGCGTTCTGTCTGTGAAGCGAGCCACGCGGGGCCCGGTGGTGTCCGCGGTTCGTCCCTACTGCAGACCGTGTCATTATGAACGTTCTGGCTCATGTCTCGTGTTGCCTTTCTCTTGGCTGTGTCCACGGGAGAGGGGTCTCTGGGGTGGGGGGCGTGCGTGTGTTTCCCTGGTAGGCCCCGTCAGACCGTCTTCCAGACCGCGGTGCCAGCAGCGCTGCCCCCGGCAGACCTGCAGGGTCCCGCTCAGCCCGCACCTCACCCACACCCTAAAAGCTGTAGCCCTGTTGATGGGTGTCGGGCGCCTGGCGCTCGGGCATTGACGTGCCTTTCCCTGACAGCTACTGAAGGTGACACGTCTATTCCCATGTTTAGGGGCCACTTGGAAGTCCCCTTCTGTAAGGAGAGTGTTCAAGTCTTGTGTCCGTTTTTCTCTTGGGTTGTTGGTCTTTCCTCCACGTTACATGGACACTCTTTGCGTGGTGTGGATCCAGACCTTTTGTTGGGTTTATGCACGACACATACCTTCTCCGTTCTGGGGTTTGCCTTGTCCCGCTCTGGCTGGTGAACGGATGTCCTCGACGCTCATGTCCTTCCAGTTCTCGTGGTCAGTCCCGTCCTATCCGATGTCCTTGTCTGCTCCAGGGCCACGAGGATATTTTCCCCTCGGAGTGGTGTCTTAGCGCTCACATTCAGACCTACGGTGTCCGTCTGGGGTTGGTGTTGAGTGGCGATGGCTCGTGTAGGTACGGGTCTGTGCTCGACCCCCGCTGCGGCCGGGGGGACGGTCCCCGCCCCGTGCACGGTGGCGCCTCATGCGGGTCTTCACTTCTTGCTTCGCTGTCGAACTTGGAGAGAGTTTCACTTGCGTCCAGTGACTCGGCGAAATTCACTTATTAATCTCACTGGAATGATGATTCTTTTGGATTTTCCTCGAGCAGAATCGTGTCCCTGTGAGTAGGGGCAGTCCTGTTTCATTCGTCTTCGTTCTCGCGCCTTTCTTCCTCCTTCTTACACGTCCGTCCTGCAGCGGGTCCCAGCGGGGACGAGCCTCTCAGCCCTGCTCACGGGGCCAGTTTTCAACACTTCACTGTCAAGAATGATGTTTCTTGGGGTTTTGATAGATAAAAAACCAACAAACATATGAAGGGGGCACCTGGCTGGCTGAGTTGGCGGAGCACGTGACTCTTGATCTCGGCGTTGTGAGTTCAAGCCCCACGCCAGGTGGATAGAGATTCCTGAAAAAGTAGAAATAAATACAAGTTTAAAAATCCGGAAAAAACATCTTAAGGAAGTTTGTTTCTAATTCTTAGCTTTCTAGACTTTGTTTTCTCTTAAACCACGGCTGATCATCGAATCTGATAAATGCTTTTTCCGCATCCCCCGAGGTGCTTGTGTGATCATCTTCTTTTAGAGTTAAGGTGTGAATTATTTCTTTCTCGCATGTAAAACCTCCGTCTTCCCAGGAAATCCTCTTGGCTTGCCTGCTCACTCTTCCTACAGGTTTCTGGAGTTGACTTGTTGACTTTCTTCAGGATTTCTGCACCTTGGCTTGGGGAGAAGTAGAGCCACACGTGCAGCTCTGGACGAGTTTTGCTCCCGGGCTCTGGTCCCCCGTGCTGGTTGCGGAGTGGCGCCCCTTCCTTCTGTTCCGTGGAGGCACTCCTGCGATGTGGGGCTGTGGTTTTCTTGACGTCCTTGGAAGCACTCCCTGGTGAAACCGTCTGGGCCTGGGTTTTCTTCGTGAGGTTTTCATTAATGACTTCGGTTTCCTTATTAAATATCAGACTATTCAGATTTTCGATTTCTTTTGCCAGCTTTGGTAAATTATATTTTTTGAGAAAATTGTCCATTTATCCAAGTTTATAAATTCATTATTAAGAAATCCTTTCACTTCCCTTGTAACACGTGCAGACGCTGGGGTAATGTCCCCTTTCTCATTCCTGGTGATTACTGATTTGTTGCTTCTCCCTTGCTCTGTAGCAACTTTATTAGGGAATTGTCAATTTCATGAATATTTTTGTTTTTATTTTTTAAAGATTTTATTCATTTATTTGTCAGAGAGAGAGAGAGAGGCAGGAAGAGGGAGAAGCAGGCTCCCCACTGAGCAGAGAGCCCGATGCCGGACTCGATCCCAGGACCTGAGATCATGACCTGAGCCGAAGGCAGCGGCTTCACCCACTGAGCCACCCAGGCGCCCCATTTTTATGAGTCTTTTTAAAGAACCAACTTTTGGCTTAATTGATTTCCTCTACCGTACACCTCCCCCAGTACTTTATTGTGGTTTTCAACCATCCAGAAGACGTGTAAGACTTGTATCATGAACAGGCGCACGCCCGCTGCGTGGAGGCCGCAGGGCTTGGCGGTTTGCGTTCTTTCTTTGCCAGCGTCTGTGTATCTGTCTGTTAGTGAATCGTAGTCTCTGCCGAGTCTCAGAGGAAGGGACAGGTGGGGCTGCTTTACACACGTCAGCGGGCACCTTGTGGATTAGAGAGCAGCCTTTGCCTGCAGTTCTGAGCTAGAAATCCCATGCGGTGGAGTGGACAGATGGTGAGCTGAGACCAGTGCGGCTGGAACACACACGCACGTAGCTGTGTCCCCCAAAGCCCCGTGAGACGTAGATCGCCCCAGAGTTTTCTCGTGGTCCTTCCTGTCGGAGCAGAGACAGCCACCCCGTGGACGGAGTCACATCACAGGGGCCCCTTCAGGTAGGGCTGTAGACCGCCCAGTGACGGCGTTGACAGGATCCACGTCGGCAGGATACCAGTAGTCTGACCTTTTTGACTGCCGAGTAGTATTCCATTGTGCAGCTGGACCGCGTCTGGGGTGTCAGCCCCCAGCGGACGGACACGGGTGTTTCCACTCAGGGGCTGTTGTGAACTTCTGTGTGCAGGATTTTGTGCGGACTCAGGTTCTCAGTTTTTCGGGTGGGGGGGATATACTTTCTTGCTACTTTTATTGATTGCCAGTAAAGTTAGTTTCTGAGGGTCAGAATCTATCTGAACTGACCCCAACACAAATGTCGGTGTGAGCCAGGTGAAGAGGCTCTCTGGACGGGGCTGAGGCCCGAGGCTGACAGGCTGTCTGGGTGTCTCACAGTCTGTCTCTCCGTCATCTCTGTCTCTCCGTCTGTCTCTTCTAATGGTCCCGTCTGCACATGTTTCTTCTTGTTCTCTGCAGACTTGCCTTCCAGAAGTCACATTTTATAGGACTGTTCATCAGGAGACAGTGTCTCGGTCAGAATTCTGGTTTCTTGGGGATTCGCAGATCCACGGAGCTCTTGACCATTCTGATAGACCCCCACTCTCCCCTGCCCGTAGATTAGGAAACTCTTCAGCACCGTTCTTTAACCTGAAGTTAAATGCTTTTTACCAGGCAGTACTAAGCAGGGTTCTCAAACTACAGTCGTTAGATTTCCTTCAGCGACACAGTCTTTACTGTTGACACTTGCTGGGTTCACTGTGATTTACACGTCGTTGTTTTGTAGCATCGAGACCAAAGCATTTACTGGTATTCATTAATCCGTTTGGAGGGAAGGGACAAGGCAAGCGGATCTATGAGCGGAAAGTGGCGCCATTGTTTACCTTAGCCTCCATCACCACCGAAATAATTGGTAAAGTATCAATTCTATTAAACATATACAAGTAAATCTGAGAATGACTCAAGTGTGATCACTAGACAAGGTTTTATCTTACAAGTTTATTTTAAACAAAGTAAAATGTGTTGTTTTATATACCAGAATGAGAACAATACGATATAAAGAATGGATACTTTTCTAACCAAGTTGTGGCATAAGAAACACTCAAGAGAAAGGCTAAGAAGACGAAAGGGTAAAGATCAGGGACAGAAAGTTCTTGCAAGGAGAAAGAAAAGCAGTTAGTAAGACTTAGGAAGAATTTCACAATAAGTGACACTTGAAGAAATATAATGTGACGCCATGTTCGTGGCCCCGATTTTTAGTGCAAATTCTCGACGCTGGGTCGGGGTGCAGAGACGCTGTTCTCCTCCCCGTGACCCTGTGCTCTGAGGTTTGTGCACACTTCTGAGTGGGGGTTGCCCAGTACCCCAGCTTTCTCGCTCTTGCCCAGGACGACAGTCGGGTGTACGAGTGACAGGCACAGAGGTGCGTGGCCACATTTTAGAACAGCAAACGTTCGAGCCAGCATGATGCCCGCTGGCAGGAAACATGGGGCTGCAGTCATGTCCCTGTGAATCTGAAGGGACAGCACGTGGACCTTTAATGTGGTCTTTCCAGAGAACTTTTCACTGAAAAGAGTGTCTGGGATGAATGTCGGGAAGTCTGGGGTACAAAACTCCACGCAGAGTAGCGTTTCTGTTGCGTTTTGTTTCTTACTTTGAGTACACAGTCTGCGGACTCGTGTTTCCTTTTTCTTATATCTTCAGATATTCTAAAATTTTCTTTGAGTTCTGTTTTATTTAAATTTAATTAAAGTTTCAGCATAACCGGGGTAATAAGGAAAAACTTTAAAATAATGCGCTTATAATATAAAAAATACATATAATATAATAATATAACATAATGTTATTTTTCCTCACAGTTACTGAACATGCGAACCAGGCCAAGGAGACTTTATATGAGATCAACACCGACAGATACGACGGGTGGGTGCTGCTCGTTCATCCTGACGCCCACGTAGCACACGCTGATCAGGCCTTACCCATCTCGGTGTTGTTCCCTCCCTGTCCTTCGTTTTGCTCCTAATTGTCATGGGAGAAAATCAGAAATAGCCGAGAAGTTCCGTCGTGCCTCCTTCTACGACGTGGAGCGACCACTGGCTGTTGTCCTTGTCCGTCCGTCTCCTGCCTCCTACGCGGACGAGTCTTCCCTGAATCATTTGTCTGTTCCAGACATTCCCCTTTTGTTCCTAAATGTTGGAGGGCGCGTCCCAAACACGAGGCTGCTCTACAGAACAAATACCGTGACAACGCGGGAGACCACAGGACACGAGGCTCTTTTTTTTTTTTTACTTTATTTATTTGACAGATCACAGGCAGAGAGGCAGGCAGAGAGAGAGGAGGAAGCAGGCTCCCTGCGGAGCAGAGAGCCCAATGTGGGGCTCGATCCCAGGACCCTGAGATCATGACCTGAGCCGAAGGCAGAGGCTTAACCCACTGAGCCACCCAGGCGCCCCAGGACACGAGGCTCTTACCTGTTTGCTGTCCCCACTGGGGTCTCGCCCCCCCGTCCCATTGTCCCTCACCGTGGGAGAGCGCTTATCTCAGGCTTTCTTGGTGTGCCTGAGGTTTTGAGACCACAGACAAGTTGTTCAATTGCGCCCGCAGGTTTGGGTGTCTGATGTCTCCTCTTGGGTCGGCCCTGGCTGTGCGTGTCCAGCTGTGTGACACGGGGCAGGGCGGGGAGCTGCTGCGCTCTTTCCCCGCGTGCGAGTCTGTGTCCATGCTGTGTCTGTCTCTGCTGGCGCATCAGCCCCAGAGGGCCAGCGTCCTGAGCCCTGTGCGCAGCTGTCCCCTAGCCCCTGGCACAGGCCTAACGCATGGCAGGGGCTCGGTGGAGCGCTCGAGACCTGGGGGAGGATGGCTGCCTCCGCAGGGGTGAGGACCCAGGGCAGCTCACAGGCTGCTGCTGAGGGTCAGGCATTCTGGAAGGACCTTAAAGCCGTGCGGTGAAGACTGATGTGCTGGGATTGGACCTGGGACGGCTGAAGGAGGTTATGCGCTGTGGGCACAGCCGGCTGGAGGGCAGCAGGGGATATGTGCAGAGGGGATGGTCTCTAGGACGTCTGGGGGAGACCTGACTGGTCCGGGTGATGGAATCCTACAGAAGACACATAGGCACTTGTTAGAGATGGGGAGCTGAAGTCGGCTTTGGAGACAGGGGTGCAGCCAGCATGGAGAACGTGACCGGGTGGCCCCGGGAGCCCAGGCAGCGTGGAGGTTAAGGGTGGCTGCGGGGCTGCGGGCTGGTCTGGCAGGTGGAGCGCTGTGGAGGGAGACGTCTGTTCTGCCTTTGTCTGCTTATTTCTTTTCTTTTTTTAAAAGGTTTTGTTTATTTGACAGAGATCACAAGCAGGCAGAGAGGGAAGCGGTGGGGGGGCAGGCTCCCTGCTGAGCAGAGAGCCGGATGCGGGGCTCGATCCCAGGACCCTGGTATCATGACCTGAGCCGAAGGCAGAGTCTTTAACCCACAGAGCCAGCCAGGCGCCCTGTCTGCTTACTTCTTAGCAGTCTGGCCTGAAGGGGAAGCCCCTGCTTGTGGGCGGAGGGGAGGGCGTGACCTTGTGGGGACTGCAGAAGGGACCCTAACAGCCGTGTCCCCGCAGAATCGTCTGCGTCGGTGGAGATGGCATGTTCAGCGAGGTCTTGCATGGCCTGATCGGCAGGACGCAGCGGGACGCCGGCGTGGACCAGAACCAGCCCAGGGCAGCACTGGTGCCCAGCCCGCTCCGGATCGGCATCATCCCCGCGGGTAGGGGCACTGTCCCCCCCCCCCCTTCCGCGGGAGCATCAAGCTTGGTTTTCCTTCAAGGTCATTCTGCTACCGAAAGGGTGATCTCCCCGCCACTCGGGGGCACCGTTTGTCGAGAAACAGTTTAGCGCTTGAGGGAATCTTGTTTTCCTTCCCTGGGCACTGCTTCCCACGGGCACTGAAGCCGGTGGCTGGGGTACAGTCTGCTCTCAAAGGACTGACCAGTCAGGGGTGGGGGGACCTGGGGAACACGGGGACCCCAGAGCACAATCAAGGAGAAAGGAAGCCGGGGAAACAGGTGGTTTTCTGGAAGTGGCTTGCAGCCCAGACTGGCGGGTGCTGGGGACTGGTGGGGGCTAACACAGTGTGGGGGGGGTGACTTCTGTGTGACTTCTGTGTGAGACGGGGAGGGATGGGGTCCCGAGCCTGTTCACCCCATGGGCCCCTGGGCTGTGTCCTGAAGAAGTCTGGCTCAGTGTGGGTTTTGTTTATTTTTTTTCAGATTTATTTATTTATTTGAGGGGTAGGGGGAGATGGGGCAGAGGGGGAGGAGAGAGAGGACCTCAGGCAGACTCCCCACCAAGAGTGGATCCCAACGCGGGCCGCGATCCCATGACCCTGACATCACGACCTGAGCGGGAACCAGGAGTCAGACACCCCACAGACTGAGCCCCGCAGGCGCCCCTGGCTCAGTGTGTTTGGTGACTGTAGGAAGTACTCACTTCTTTGGAAATCACCACGTTGAGTTATATAAATTGGTTCGGGGCTTTGCGAACATCGTCCGCAGGGAGGCTCCCCTGTCCGGTGCCCGGGTCTGCCCGGAGGCGACAGTGATGGGGGCTGCGTCCTGGCAGAAATCCCACGTGGCATGTCCCCTCCCACCATTCGCGACAGCTGTGAAGGAGCAGCTGTCCTGGTCCCCCTTCATGGACCAAGGTGAGCGGCCCAAGGTCCCCCAGAGGGACCTCTCTGCCCCGCCCCACGGTCAGGAAAAGTCGGACGAACGTTGGTCACGCAGCGGATGTGTTTATTCTGGGTCGATCGCCGCTCACGACTCCTTCCCATTAGACTTTTCTCTTGGCTGCCTGGGGTCTGTTCCGGGCGACGTGAATTTTATTTCTCTGCTAGACTGTTTTTTCGTGACGGCTTTTACAGCCATCGGCCTGCAGTAGCACGACCACGTACAAGCTCAAGCTGTTCCCGTTCAGGAGCCGCTCAGGAGTGTCGTGGGGACAGACGCGCCGCGTGCTGTGGGCATTCTGGGCCTTGGGGATCGGTGGAAGACGGGATGGGCGAGGCCTCTGCCCACTCAGGGGACCCAGCACACTGGGAAACTAGAGCGGGCACACTGCAGACAGTGGCCAGGAGGGGCTTCTCTTGCTGGGGTGCCCGGGGCCCTTTCCAAGAGGCGACAGGTGAGGGGCTGGCCATGTGGGGACGCAGGTGTGCCGGGGGTCAGCTGGGCCAGAGCTGTGTGCCCAGGAAAGGGGACCCGCCTGGTAGGGGTGCCAGGAGTGGGGTCATCGAGGGGCCTGGACAAGGGCTCAGCTTGGGGCTCGAGTCCTGAAGGCCACGCGGTGAGACGCAGAGGCCATGGGCAGTGTCATCTGAACGGGCTTGAAGGCCACCCCATGCGCTCTGTTCTGGTTGGTGGTGTCTGAGCCCCAGGGGGGATGTGGTGCTTGGGCCGGTGGCCATGTGGCTGGCTGGGACTCGGGTATAGCTGTGCCACAGAACCAGCAGGCACTGGTGGAGGAATAAGGGTGACCCCGTGATGTCGGTCTTGGTGCCCCGGGGGCACAAAGATGAGGCGTTGGGGTGGGGGCACGAGTTCTGATGGAGATCGGGGATGGGCTCCTAGGGGACGCCGAAGCCAGCGCTTGGAAGGGAGTGGCTGGCTTTGGGAGGAGTGGGCCACGGGAGTCTGGCAGGTGTGTGGCAGCCCCGGGGCGGCTGGGACGGCTGGACACAGAGCGCATTGGAGACCCATCACTGCTCCAGCTGCCGTGAGTCCAGACCTGCTGATGCCTTCTCAGTTCTAGTCTCCTTCCACTTAAGGATCTAGAGGAAGGAGCCAGTCCGCAGAAGGAGGGGGCCCTCTCCCTGGGCCCCTCTGTCCTCGTTTCTGCTCGGCACACCCGAGCCTCCACACCTCTGCAGACTTGGTCCCGGAACCCCGTCCCAATGCCTGGTTGGGGCCAGACCTTGGTTTCCAGCCAGGGCTTCCTCTTGGTCGAAGTCTGGGCCACGCAGATGTCTGAGGAAATGCCCAGGGAGTTAGGTCACATCCGAGGGATGAGCTGTTGAAAGCACACTGGACGTTAAAAGGAAGGAACGGGGTTCAAGGGACTTGCCTGTGGGCACCCGGGTCCCCCCAGCTGCACCAGCCTGTCCTCTTCAGACCATCGGGGGCCACACGCAAGCTGGAGGCGCTCTGGAGCTTGGGCAGGTCCATCCATCCGCGATCACGCACCCTCGAAACACCGCTTTCCCAGCCCCTCTGAGAGCCGGCTGCTGCTGTGGGCCCAGGAGCGGGCGAGGCGGGGCCCCCAGGTTGTGGGGAGGTGCACCGTGGGTCCAGGACACAGAGAGCCGAGTGGGGGACACGCTGTTGCAGACAGGGTGCTCTGAGAGGCCTCTCAGGGTGACACTGGTGCAGGGCCCGGAGTGTGGTGAGGACGGTCCTGCCTTTGGGCCGCAGTGGTCCTTGGGCAGGAGGGAGTCTGGGTCTGGCCTGGAGGTGTGAGCAGGGAGCCAGAGGCAGGGCGGAGCGGGGAGGGGCAGAGGCCGGGGCCGAGAAGGGTCTGGAGTGCTGGCAAGCCGAGCGATGACCTCCTTTAGCAATCCGCCTCGTTAGCAAAACCATCCCTGAAACCTGTCAGGTCAGGTCACCTGCCGTATTCATTGCCGGGGGACCGGGTGACAGAGAATGCGTGTCCTATCCAGGGATAGGGCCGTGGGAAATCCTGGAACACAAGTCCGCGGGGCCCCACCCCAGCCGGGCTGGGCCTAGACACCTTGGCCTGTGCCGCCCACACCTCCTTAGATGAGATGCGTCCAGCAGCTTTGGAGGAGCGCCACGCTGTCCTGGAGGTCAGTCACGAGCCTGGCCCCCTTGGCTGTGGTTCTGCGGGGTCCCAGCACGCGCACACGTGAGCCTGAGAGGATCCGTCACGAGACTCTGCTGCCCCAGTGGGGGCGTCCGGCCCAGCGAGGCCTCGGGTATCTTGGCCGCGGTGCGGGATGGGGGCCAGACGCTCGCCGCTCTACTCTTGTCTGCGGTCCCTGCGGTCTCTGCGGGGTCCTGCCAGGGCGGGAGGCCCCGCGTCTGTGAATGCAGGCAAGTCCGGGCGTCTGCGCGGCATATGTCGTGAAGGATGGCTTGCCCGGAACGCAAACAAAGCCCTGGCTGTGCGATGGGAGAAGGGGCTCCACGGACGTTCTGGAAGGTTCTGGGGATGCGAAGAACTACCTTGGGGCACAGCTGAGAATAATTAAAATAGCCCTTTCAAGGGTGTTTTCTTAGGAGTGTTCGTGCTGGTTTTCCGGGTCTGCTTCGTTCTTTTGAGGAGCCTGTGGGAGACTCTGAAACCACACGGGTTTGCTGTTAATTTTTAATATCTTAAGACTTAACTCCTATGGTCTTAAATGCTTATTTAAAAATTTTTACTTTTTGGCTCATTTTTGGAATGGGATACTACTGACATTCTCAGGTTAAGATGAACAGAGCAAGAGAAACGCACGTCTTAAAGGCGTGCGTGTGTGTTTCCGTAACTTACAGCCATCAGGAGCGCCATGTCGCTCAGACGACGTCGAGCCTCCCCTCGGGCGGCAGACTGGGCCAGGGTCTGTGAGTCGAAGACGTGACACGGGCTGGCAGTCCAGCGCGTCTGTTTTCCGGTTATGGGGGACATCACTGACCACGGGAGATGCATCGATCGTTGGGGGCGGAGGACGGAGTGTCTGGACCCGCCGGCGTCTGGGCTGCTGTGCCGGCTGACCCTGGTCACTCTCTGCCGGGTCCCGGTCTGCAAAATGCAGCCAGACTGTGCGGTTCCAGATCCTGATGCGCACTTTACTCCGGGAAATCCACACTAGGCTTTTTCAGCCAGTTCGCTCGCTCAGCCCCCGCCCCGACCTGCTGGGTCCATGTCTCGGGGCAGTGGGGTTCGGCAGTCTGAGAAACAAGAGCCCACGGGACACTCTGCCCACGCAGGCCGAGAGCAGTGACCTGGACTGGGCCCCGGCTGGAAGGTGGACAGACGTGTGGAGGGTCCCAGCACCATCACCACGCCTGGGGATCCTGGCCCTCGCCGGGTGCCCTGAGGTCACCCCCAGCTTGCGGTCAAGCACGTCAGTGGGAGGTGTGTGCTCGCTGAGTTCCGGGGGGTCCCCTCCCGTCTGTCAGGTGGCGGCTGCCGTGCATCTTTGACCAGCGACGGGCCCCAGAGCGCTCTGTGGACCGGGGGGGGCTGTCGTCGGGACACGGGCTCCCACAGGCCTCTGCGGGGACCTCGCAGGTTGCCCTCATTCTGCATCCATGTTCCCGCTGCTGACGGCTCTGCATAGGTGCCCGTGGTCCTGGGGCCGCTGGCGTGTGCAGGGGGGACATACACGCCGTGCAGAGCGTGGAGCGACACTCCCCATCCCCCTGCCCCTGTGTCTGGCGCTCTGCTCCCCCAGACAGGCCGAGGAGCAGTCGTGAGAGCTCTGTGAGGAGCAAGTTGGGTTGTGTGGGCGTCTCAGCACATCTGACGAGTTCCTCTCAAGACGGCCAGGCCTCCCTTGGCACGAGGATTATTTAGTCCTCGTGTCCTTTCTTCATCCAAGGCCAGAAGGAAGCGCGACCACCCCGTTGGAAACCTGCTGCAGTTTTAAATCATTACGACGCCATCAAAAACCTTCCTTTTCTTTTTCCTTCTTTAGGGTCGACAGACTGTGTGTGTTTTTCAACGGTGGGCACCAACGATGTGGAAACGTCCGCCCTGCACATCATCGTGGGTAGGTCCCTCCCCGCGGGCCCTGATCATGGGGGAAGCTCTGGGCCGGGGCTGGCTTGCGGGCTTCCCTGGGCCTCCTGCCTGCGGGACTCTGTGTGGGCCGTGGTTCCCGGCTCAGATCCCTCCGGCGTCCCTGCCCCACAGTCGCAGGCACCCTGTGACCTGGCCACTGTTCGTGTCCCTGTGTGCGCCCAGGCCGACCCCCTGGCCCCGCATGCTCTGGGGTTGCCCGATGCTCTGCTCTCTGTTGCTCTCTGTGTCTGGGACGCAGCCCCCGCCCCGTCAGGACAGGCTTGCCCAGGTCCGAATCCACAGGCCTGCGATGCCCCTTCCACATGGCGTTTCCCGGGCACCTGTGCACTCGGCCCCGGGGCAGGAGGCCGTCCGTGCTGCTGGTCGCCGGCCCCACAAGCACGTGGCTCCCTCCCCAACCACGGTGCGTCTCCCGTGAGACCCGAAGCCACGCAAGTGCCGCTGGCCAGTGGCACGTTGATCGTCTGTTTCAGTCGTGGGCAACTCCCCTCCTTTCGCAGCCAGAATGCGCTCCCTGGGGCCCGACAGGACGGCTTTCCAAACCTGTTTTGGAAATGTCCATTAAATTCTGTCATTAGAGTGACGCGCGGGCGCCCAGTCCCCCTGGGGTGCACCCCGTCTCCCCGCGCGCCGGTCGTCCGCGTCGGCACGCGCTCGCCAGGCCCCGTCCGGGGCAGGAGGGGTGCGGCGCCAGAGTGGGGACCGCTTCCCTCCGCAGGGGACTCGCTGTCCATGGACGTGTCCTCCGTGCATCACAACGGCGCGCTGCTGCGATACTCAGTGTCCCTCCTGGGCTACGGCTTCTATGGGGACATCATCAAGGACAGCGAGAAGAAGCGGTGGATGGGTCTCGTCAGATATGACTTCTCAGGTGAGGCCGTCTGACCTCCGGCCCCACGCCGGTCTCCACGGCCTGCAGCCGCAGGGGCTCATCCGATGGGTTTGGGACGCCTGCGGGGCAGGGCCCGCACCCTGAGAACCCCCACCCTCGGCCCCAGAGCTGGAACTGGCGGGAACTGGAAATCCGCTGCAGACCACACAGAACAGGCGGGTCTGCTCCCGTCAGGGGTGTTGCCCTCGGGACGGGGTCTGACAGTGCGCAGTCCGGTGGCCACACCTGCCGCCCACACGGGCTCCAGGGCTGAGTTTGATCCATGCCATTTGTCTGGTCACGGCCCTTCCCAGTTCACTTTTGGGCGAATCTCTATTAGGTTCAGTCGAAGCATCGTAGGTGTTAACATCTGAGCCCTTGTCTTGGGAGAGAAAGGGACAGTAATTTGCTGGGCATGAGGCATCGCCGAGACTGAGCTAAGTTAGTAGAGCGGAAGGTGAATCGTAGGGGCCCCGAAGAACTATCTGATAAACCAGGGTCCGGGAAAGCAACGATGGGCACCGCGTCCCTGATGCCAAGCTGGCCGCCTGCCCTGAGCCCGTGGGGCCTCGTCCCGACCCACAGTCGCCCCTCTGCGGGGACGTGTCTCCTCCCCCACCTGGAGCCCGACACACCACAATGCTCCGAGGTGGTTCTGAGGCAGAGGGAGGCGGGTGTCTTTGGGCCCGTGGATGTGCACGTGGTCTGAGGACGGGCAGAGACGGGTCACCGCCGTCCGGGGAGAGGCTGCCCTGTGGGTTCTGGCTGTGCACCCTTCCCATTAGCAAGGAGCCGGGGGGGGTGTCAGGGGGAGAAGCAGGGGGATGGGCAGCGGGAGGAAGGTGGACTGGGGGCCACTGGAAGTGGCTTCTGCACAGGACACGTGGTTACTGAGTGTGTCCTGGGGCCCAGCCACATGCTAGGTGCTGGCACAGTGGGCCGGGGCCCGGGGTGGGGGGCTCAGTGCTGTCCCCGTCACGCGGGATGTGACTGTGGCCTCTGCCATCTGATGCGGGGCATGGTGTCACTGTTCCACTCCCAGGACACAGCATGGTCCCCACTGTGACCCAGGCCCCATGCCCGTGTCCTGTGGGACTCCCTGCACCAGCGGGCTGGGTTCCTGCCTCGCTCTTAGGGGTCAGCTCGAGGCCGGCCAGGCTCGCGGAGAGTGGACGGGGCTCTCGCAGTCGGCCCCGGGGCCGGCCACTGTCCTCTGGGCCCAGTGCTGCCGTGAACTTCGTCAGAGCTCTTCCCAGATGCCAGAGCTGTGCTGGGTGACCCTGGGCGGCCGAGGCTGGGAGACGCCAGGGTGTGGCTAACAGCCTGGGAGGAGCAGAAGGGGTCTGGGGGCTCCGCCCTTGGAAGCGTCTCCTTCAGGCCGCACGGACGTCAGGGGCTTCCGCAGACGCCAGCAACCTGCGGGCGGGCCAGGAGGGGCCACTGTCGGGGCAGCCCTGGAGACCAGGCGTCCTCCCTGCTCCTGTCACCAGGCTCCCGGGAGGCGCTGGTCGCATGGGGCGGCGTGGCCGGGAGGTGATGCTGGACTGACTCCTTCGTGCTCTGTTCTCAGGTTTGAAGACCTTCCTGTCACATCACTGCTACGAAGGGACAGTGTCTTTCCTGCCGGCGCGACACACAGTGGGGTCTCCGCGGGACAGGAAGCCCTGCCGGGCGGGGTGAGCACCGCCTTCCGTGCAGGTCTTCACACGTGGCGTGAAATAAAGCCAGGCTGTTTGGGGCTGTTTCCCTGTTGTGGGCGCGTGGCATCGTCTAGTCTCGACGGGGGAGGGTGGCGCTTGCGTGCCCAGCGACGGAGCTTGGCGCAGGGCCTCTGGGGTCCCGCGTCCCCACGCTTCTCCCCTCCTTGAACTGAAGGACTCGAGACCATAGATCAGAACAGTTGGAGGCAGAAGCTCCTTCCTCTGTCGTGTCGCCAGGCTGACTGCTGAGCTCATCTCAGGGGCGTAAACCCTTGTACCCCGGGGGACAGGGAGTCCAGTGGGCCCTGGGACCGCAGACACCGTCTGCACTAACTGTGGAGTTCCCAGTCGTCCACTTGCTTGGTAGCGATGGGAACACCGAAAACCAGTGTATTATTGGCCATGGAATTTGTACCTTTCTTGGCCTTTGCTCCCGCTGGAGCTCCGCTAACTTGGGGCCATGCAGACCTGGCTCTGGGCGCTGGCTTCCTGGCCTCCTAGGACGCGCCCTGCACGTGTGACGTTTACCCGTGTTAGAGCAGGACTTGAGGACACAGGTCACTGTCACAAGGTCTAATCTGGAGAATTCAAACTGGCGTGCAAAGGAAATATTGTTAGCTCAGCCTCTGAGACCGAGTCTGCTGTCACAGGAGAGTCCTGCAGTCCCGTGTCCCCGCCGAGCGTCTGCGCCCTCAGGAAGGGTGGTGACGTCCTTGCCTTTCAGGTGCTTCGTGTGCCGGCAAAGCAAGCAGCAGCTGGAGGAGGAGCAGAAGAAGTCGTTGTACGGTTTGGAGAACACGGGTAACGTCTCCGAATCAGTCACTGTCACCACCGTGTGCAGAACCGCGCGTTTCCGAGTCCTGGAGGGCGTCGCGTCTGTCCCTCTACGGGTGCCGCTCCGCACCTCCCTTTCTCCTGGGCTCCCGCAGGCAGCAAACAGCGGCCGCTTGCCAGCCCTGTGGCAGGGCGATGCCGCGGTTGGACACCGGCCTGGCTCCCGTTCCCCACAATGCTCTGCCCAGGGCCCAGCGGCCTTTCCTGCGACTCACCTGCACACCTTTGGGCTTTGCCCGGCACTTGTGAGGGAAGGGGCGCAGCGCCGCGGCAAACTGTGGACGTGAAATTCGGTTCCTTAGCAGGTTCATGTGTCCCAACATACTTCTCTGGATTTCTCCCGACCGTGTAAACATGGGAAAATAGCTCGCAGGCCATGCTGGGCTATCGGTCTGTGTTTGAAATTGTCCAGAAGTCCCCACGTGAGGACCAGCAAAACTGCTCCGTGTTTTGGCTGGTGACCCTCTGTGCCCAGCAGTCGGCACAGGATTCTTGGTGCTGGTGTCAGGGGGCCTGTCACGGGGGGAGTTTGTGGCGAGGGTCTCAGGACGCCCGCTCACCTCTAACGTCCCGTCCGCGACACCCCTTTCTGCTTCAGAGGAGGTGGAGGAGTGGAAGGTGGTCTGTGGGAAGTTCCTGGCCATCAACGCCACAAACATGTCCTGCGCTTGTCCCCGGACCCCCCGGGGCCTCTCCCCAGCCGCGCACTTGGGGGACGGCTCTTCTGACCTCATCCTTATCCGGAAATGCTCCCGGTTCAACTTCCTGCGGTTTCTGGTCCGGCACACCAACCAGTGCGACCAGGTGAGCGGCGGGAGACCCCGCGTCTCGCAGCATCCGGAGGCCCGCGGCTGTGGGTGTGTCTCTGATTTCAGTAAGATCTAGGGGTGGTTTTTGTTAAATTGTGCTTAAGGTCTACTCTAATGGTGTTAAGTGGCTTTTAAACTAGCATTTGTGAAAGGTAAGGAGTTCTTCAAGTTACAGCTACGGAACCACCAGAATGCTTTTCTTTCTGTTTTTTTTTTTTTTTTAAGGTTTACTTGTTTTTGAGAGAGAGAGGGAGCGGGGGAGGGGCAGAGGGAGAGGGAGAGAGACTGTCCAGCGGGATCCCCACTCAGCAGAGCCCAGCGGGAGGCTGGATCCCACGACCGTGAGATCGTGACTCCGGACGAAGCCGAGAGCCGGCCACTCCGCTGACCAAGCCGCCCCGCCTGAACCCTTTAGAAAGTGCCCGTCGCTGCGGCCACGGTGGGAGGTGGGCGTCTGATGGCGGCGCGCGGCCCACGGCCCAGCCTCCCCGGCCCGGCACCCAAAGAACACCACCCCCTTCTGTGTCTCTCGTTAGTTTGACTTCGCTTTTGTCGAAGTTTATCGTGTGAAGAAATTCCAGTTTCTGTCAAAGCACACGGAGGACGAGGACAGCGACCTCAAGGAGAGGGGGAAGGCGCGCTTCGGGCCCGTGTGTAGTGACTCCCCGCCCTGCTGCTGCCCCGTGTCCAACAGCTCCTGGAACTGCGACGGGGAGGTCCTGAGCAGTTCCAACATCGAGGTCAGGTGCGTGCCCGGGCGCGTCTCCCGGGGCTCAGCGTCCCCCGCGTCCCCATTCCGCCCGCCCCCGAGGCACCGTCTGCTGCTTTGGGGAGGGGGCTGCTGTCCCCACGGACGTCACAGCATGACCCGTTCCTTCATTTGCTCAATGGGCCAGCAGCTCCGCGGACCTCGGGGGGCCCCGGTTGTGGCCGGAGCTGGGGGTCTGGCTCGCAGCCTCCCTGGGGGTGGTCGCCCCAAGGCCGCAGGAGAAGCCGCCGGGACAGTTGTCTGCGTGGGGACTCGGCTTTTGTGATTTGACCAGTTAAAGACGTGGAATTAGTTGTAATGCTGGCTTAAGGATTTACTAAAATGCGGGAAACTTCGAAAACCAGGAACAGCATTATTTTGGGAAGCATATGGTCTGTATCTAGATATCGTTACCATGTTTGAGCAGTAAGTGACCTAGGTTTTTTTTCTTAAGATTTTATTTATTCATTTTGGAGAGATCTAGAGAGAGTGTAAGCAGGGGAGTGGTGGGGCGGGGGAGAAGCAGGCTCCCCACTGAGCTGAGAGCCCGAGGCAGAACTCGATCCCAGGACCTGGAGATCATGACCTGAGCTGAAGGCAGGCGCTTAACCATCTGACCCACCCAGATGCCCCAATTATGGGGGTTTTGTTACTGAACATCTTAGAGGAGCCTGTGACACCATTAGTAAAGGGGGAAGGTGGCCCTGCTGGTGGGGACCACGCGGACCCCTGAGCCCCTTGGCGCTCATCCTCATGCTTGTCATGGAAGGCGGGGTCTCTGGGGCACCTCGGCCACCCATGGACGCCTGGGTCGGGGCTGGGGTGGCGCTCCTTCGCCCTGGCTGACCGGATGTCCTGCACATCCCACGTGGGGGGGTCGCCTCGCATGGAGCCCTCCCTGCGGCCCTGAAAGCTCAGAACACGGCCATCTGGGGATGGTCACGCTGCTGAAGAGGGGGTGCCGGGTGTTGAACCTGGCCTTCGGGGCCTCCGCACCCTTTACAAGACAGGCTTCTGAAGAGTGTGGGTAAGTCACTCTGCACCCCTGGCCTGTCCCTGTGGGGCCGGGCCCAGAGCCAGCCATGAGGAGACCCCCAGGTCCCTCCACCCTCGACCAGCTGCTGGGCCGAGGGCCACGGGGTCACGGGGTCACGCGAGGCCCTTTTTCTCTGCAGGGTCCACTGCCAGCTGGTTCGCCTCTTTGCGCGGGGAATCGAGGAGGACGTGAAGGAGTCGGACGGCTGAGCTGCCCTCACGCCCCGCCCGCCTCGCTGTGCTCGGGAAGAGCAAACGTTATTCAAGAAAATTCCTGCAGACCAATTACGCTGATATATACACTTAAATTTAGAAATTTATTTTTGATAGTTAGATCTTGATTTTAGACAAACTCCTTGGTCAGCAAATCCGTGAATGTTCCCAGCCTTTTCAGCTCTCTGTGAGCCTGTGGACCGCATTTCACAGAACTCGCCTCCGCCAACGGCCCCTGTCAGTTTGGGGCTCTGACTTCTTAGATTTTAGGCCGAGGGCGGTTTTCAGGGGCCCACCCGTGGCTCTGTCACAGTCGTTTTAGGGACGGTGGATGTGAGGCTCTAGCATTTGGATGGGAGGCGTCGAGCAGCTCCCCAACCCTCTCCGCCAGACGGACTCGTGTGCGTGTGCTCAGGTTTTGGAACACTGGGTGGCCTTCACGTTATCTTCACCTGAACCTGGGCTCGGGCCGCACTTACTGGGTCGGGTGTGTCCCGGGCAGCTCCGGTGACCTCGGAGCAGGACCGTCTTAGGAAGAAGGACACTGACAGAGAGACCCTGTATCTGCAAAGGCCCAGCCCTTGCCTCCGTCGCGCTGGTGCCTCTGGGGCAGTCGGCCGGTGGCGAGAACAGTCATGAGCTCTGGACATGGCATCCGTTTTAAATTGAGAGGACCCACGCTTCACAGCGACCCAGTGGGTAACAGGAGGGCTTCGTGGGGCGGTGGGAGGAAGCGGGCGCGCGAGGGGTACAATCCGCTCCGTGAACTGTGTTCACTTCGGGCCGAGCGGCCTCGCCCCGTTGGGGGTGGGTCCCGAGGTCCCACGTTCCCGCGGCTCCTTGGCCGCAGGCCCCAGGTCTCCGCACGTGCTCCAGACTTGGGCTTTTCTTCACGCTTCATTCCATGTATTTATGAAAACGTCCTTGTCAGCGGGAAGTGGCGTTCCCATAGCGCAATGTTTGCGGACGCGCCAGAGCCCCAGCGGCCGGGGGTTCCCTGGAGAGATGACCCCTGGTCCCCGGGGTCCCTCGTTGGCACTCTCGCCTTGTCTTCTTTGTATTCACATTAGGTATGTGGAAGATGCCTCGAAAATAGCTTTATTTGAAATACAAGCTGCGGCTTGGACTCCGGTTTCGGAGACGGAGCCAGCCTGACTGTCCCAGGTGGCGCGTGGGGGCGCTCGGCCGTTGGGAGGGGCAGCTGGTCCCGTCCGCTTGACAGACATCCGGTATTTGTCGAATTTCCTTGCGGTGTTTGTGTTTTGGAGTATACGCGAGATCTCCTGCTCCATCGTTCAGTCCCGTCCAGGTCACACCAAAGTGCGCTTTACCCGTGGCCTTTCCAGTAGACCATGTCACCGTGTAATCGCACAAAGGCAACAGTTCAGCAGGTCCTGGGCGGGCGCAGTCTGGGTGTGGAAAGTCAGTCCACGCGGGCTCTTTCTGTCCCGGGTGCTCGCTGCTGGTTGGAAGGACGGGCAGGCGGCGCTGTGAGGGGGCGGCGGCCACATGTCAGGGCCCGGGCTGGGGGGCCAGAACCACGCTATGGGACGGGCTCCTTCGCAAGGTTTCCCCAAAACAGTTCTGGCCTGTCCTACAACCCACTGCCCATTTCAGGAAACTGGTCCAGGCCACGGTGGGCATTTTCTATTCACCGAAAGAGCCGGCCCTGTCCCCGGCTTCCTGCACGGCTGGCCGCATGCCCAGGTCCAGAACTGCAGGCCTTGGGGCTGTGCTCGGGGCCCAGGTGATGGTCGGGACGCCCCGGGAGTTCCCGATGATGCGCGCACAGTCCGGAAGGGCTGTTCAGACATTCCCCTAGGGGCGAGAGGCTGGGGTCTCCGGGAAGGCCCCACCACCGCTGGACTTGAGGGTGGTGAAGAAAAACCTGGACCGATGGTGGGTCAGTGAAAACGTAGGGCCATCTAGAAGGGCTAGTCTGTGTTTTGACTTCCTTGGTGACGCATCAGTGTGAAAACCCCACGAGCCATCGCGCTCTGACCCTCTCCTCCTTCGCACCCGGTGGGCACCTGATGGGCCGTCCCTGCCGCTCGGGGGCAGAGGTGGCTGCTCTGGTACGACCCTGGGTAACGGGCAAGTATGGCCTGAGAGGGTGGCTTCATTTTCTTGTAATCTTGCTGGTTTCAAGATTGGAAAACGGCGTATTTGCTCTGGTATGTTTGAGAAGACAAAAATAAAGTTACTTTGGGCAGAGTTTGGTTTTCTTTTATAAATTCTTGTTCCCTTCAGAGCAGAGCGTGTTTCGTGAAAACAGCTGCGCTCACTTTGGTTTTGAGAGTGAGCAGGGGAGGGGAGAACCCCGGGCAGACTCCCCGCTGAGTACAGGGCCCAACCGACCCCCAGGCCCGATCCCACAACCCTGAGAGGGGCGTGGTCATGACCTGCGCCCAACTCGAGTCAGACGCCCGACCGACCAAGGCGCCCAGGCCCCACCCATGTAACAGTGTAAAGAACAAGAAGGATGTGGGGTTACCCAGGCCAAGAGCTGGAACTTCCCCCCCCAAAGTCCCCGTGCTCCCCTTGTGGGGGATCCCTGTTTCCGGTGCACCGTTCCCTTGTTTATCCGTGTGAGGGGGTCAGGACAGGCCACCCCAAGACAGGCCACTCGGGCATAAGACGGTCTCGAGCTGAAGACTTCAAGAGGCGTCCTCTGCACCCCCACCCGTCTGCCGAGAAGCGGGATCGAACTTCCCCTCGGGCGGGCGCGCCGTCCTCTCCCCGGCGCCGTGAGCCGACCGCTGGGACGGTCGGTGCCAAGCTAGGTCTGCACAAACCTTAACCTTCCTTTACTTCCCCGCTGAGACCACCCCCCCCCCCCAGAGCCGTCCTATGACCTCAGAAGCCCAAAGCCCTCATCCTGGCTCGTCCCGTCTTCACGAGTTTGTTGCCGTTTTGTTAAGAAGCCCCAGGATCTACCTGCTCCTCTGGGTCTTCTGATTTTCTATAAAGGTCTCCATGAACAGCAACAAAATAAGCTATTGGCATCAAGTAAGAACGTGTTCCCCTGCCTGCTGTCCGCGTGCTCAGGGGCGCACAGCCCCGAACCCGAGCCGGCAGGAGCCGGGCTCTTCTGTCCCTGCGCACGCGCTCCCGTCTCGTCCGGTCTCGTCCCGCAGGCGTTGCTGTTCTCCTCAAGGGAGTCGCGCTGCGCGGCTCCCGGACCCGCTGCCTCACGCCGCGCATTTTGAGAAGACGTTTCCATCACGAGGCTGCGTTTTCCAGTCCGGGAGCGCGGCACGTTCCCACTCATAAAGCCTCACTCAGGTCTCTAGTTTCCCAGTCTCTGAACCGTTCAGCTATATTCCTAACAAACTGTATTTTGGGATTAATTTTTTGTTTTTACATAGAAATCTGATTTTTTAAAGTATCATATGGAATCCAGAAATTGTGCCTCTTACTATGAAAACTTACCTGCGTGGGGCCCATAGGAGACTCAGTCGGTGAAGCGTCTACCTTCGGCTCAGGTCGTGATCTCGGGGTTCTGGGATCGAGCCCTGCATTGGGCTCTCTGCTCTGCGGGGAGCCTGCTTCTCCCTGTCCTCACTTGTGTTCTCTGTCAAATAAATACAATCTTTAAAAAAACCCTTATTTCTAGATCTGGGGTTTCCCACCGTACCCTCATCTACAAGTAGGGATAGTTGAGTAGCTCCAACTTCAGGACCTTGCCCACTTGTCCCCCATCTGTGCCAGGTCTGACTCCCCATACAGAAGGGACAGCAATGCCTCCCTCTAAAGGAGTGGGACCCTGGGCGCCTGCCCCCCACCTCTGCCGCCTGCGTCCTGGGAGCCCCGCACCGGCGACAATGCCAGCCCATGGCCGTGGAGGCGCTGGGACCCTGTAGGAGGCGGGGTGGGCTTTCCAGCTCCAGCATGTGGGGTGCTGATTTCAGGGGCCAGATTGCTCCCCCGGGACCCCCCGCCCCCGGCCTCTGCACACTCCTGCAGGGCGGGGCCTCCCGGATTGACACGGATCCCTGCTGGATCATCAGGTCTCGGGCAGTGGCTGCCCACCCTCCACCCCCATGACCCCTGCCTCCCACCCCAAGCCTCCTCCACCCTCCGCCGCAGGGGATGTATGAGGAGTCAGCTTTGCAGGTTGGTTCTGCAGGCAAATAGCTGTAACCACCGCCTTTGGTCCCTAACTTGATGGCAACACTTCTCTGGGCCACATGTGACCCCCTTGTTCACTGAATGCTGTTTCAGCATCAGCAGCAGGTACCCACACTCGTTGCCCGCCAGTGTTTCAGTGCTCCTGTCCCCTGGGGCCCCGGACCCTCCCCAGGCCGGGGCGCCTGCTTCTCCGACTTGCGGCCAGAAGGACAGATTGTGGGAGCCTGGCAGGGGCTCAGGCTCCCAAGAATAAAGGCCCCAAAACCACGGGGCCACCAAGGCACCTCCTTTAGTTTCAGGGGTGCCCAGGTGAAGCCAGGAGACGCCCCCTGCAGAGGACTGCTGTAAACGCACCAGTGGAAACACACCGGCCGTAGACAAAACCAATTCTACTGAATACGGTCCCCGGGGAGCTCTTACAGGAGCGAGGAGACCTATTTCTGCTACTTTGTGGACACATTAAATAACGAAACAGGCAAACAGGGAGCCCCATCGGCGAGGGTGGGCAGAGGGGTCCCTGCCGCCCACACCTTGGGCTCCGGCCCCTGCTCCCCCCTCCCCCTCCCCAGAACAGGGGTCCCCGCAGGGCTGGCAGCTCATAGACCTTACCTGTTGGGCTGTGCAGTCCCAAGAGCGTTCGCCCGGTGCCTGGCCCCCAAGGACCACCAGCCTGTCACAGCGTGGTCCCAGCCCTGAGACTGCCTGCAGCAGATGGACAGATGAACGGGAGGATGGGGCTCACCCGAGCACCGGGCCGGCCCACCAGACCTGATGTCTGTTCAGCTCCCACGCACTGCGTGGGACCTGGGTGGAGCTGTGGGCATGGGGGCAGGAGGCTGGCGCCCTTGGCTGTGCCCTGCTCAGCTCCACACAGGACTCTGGTGGGTTCAGATGTCGGCTGGTTCCTGCATCCCTTGGTCTCCACTGTCAGTGTCTCGGCTGGCTGAGCCACGGGTGCCACCGGGGACCCTTCTGCCCAAACCCCAGGGGGGAGGGCTCCAGGTTGCACCTGGTCCAGAGATGCCCACTATTCCCAGGGAAGTCCTTCCCAGGACGTGCACCCCAACCCCGAGGGTCCTCTTCCAGGCTCCTCCATGTCCTGGCAGAGTGATGGTCCCACTGCCCTGTCACCTAGTGCCGGGCCTGGATGCCCTGAACCGGCCTTCCAGCCTTCGGGAACCTGGACCCCTGCTTCCCCTCGATGTCTGCACCCATGCCCCCTGCCACACTCCATGGCCCTGCCCCACAGCCCACGCCCCAGGCAGCTTTGGATCCCAAGCCCCTGCTACCCTCCAGCACCGGTGGTCATGGCGATCCTGGGCCCCCAAGAGGGGAACCGGCCTGCCCCACTCCAGCTGCCGACAAGGCACAGGGGCCCCGCTGGGTAGGCCAAGCACCCCCCACCCTCCCCGGAGCACAAAGCATCTGAGGTTTATTTAAATAAAAATTATAATTTATACAAGACTTCTTTAAACAAACAAAGTTTTCTTATAAAAACGGTTACGGGGTTTTTCATCAGTTCTTCATACAGTACAACCCTTCCGGTGAACACAGTGACAGCAGGAACGGGTACTTACTGACCCAAAACAGACTTGAGCTTTGGACCTAAAAATGTAACATTCACGCTAGTTCAGTGATTAGTCATAGAAATTAAACATCTGCCCAGATGTACACAGTTTGATAGAAACCCCGGGCTCTCTGCCGGGCAGCGGGGAGCCCCTGGGGGCCACGTACCCCCCCCCAGCGCCCCACGGCCGTGCTCCACACGTGGTCAGTTTTCATCTCCCTTTCTCCTCAGAAGGGACTCGAACCAAA